TTACTAACATTTGTAATACACCTAGTATGTACCTAGTACTTTATACATATTAACAACACAGAGTGTTTTCATCCTTTAGAAGATGAAGGAACTGAGGCTTTGGCTTTACATAACTTGGCAATGCTAATATGATAACAACTTATTTACAACGAGTAATAAGTAGAGTAAGGTTCTGAACAGTGGCCATCTGAATCTACAATCTTCAGACTTTTTCCACCAACCAATCTGTTTACTCTAAATGACATAAATTCAAAATACAGATATAAAAAGATAGAGGGTTTAAGTGAATACTGTAATATTTCTACTTTTGGATATTAATGCAAAATACAAGAACAAACAGCTTTTGAAATCATTCTCAAGTGTTTAATTAAAATCCATATAGCATTTAACATGTATAGATGTTTAAACTCTTTCAGTGACTCTTACTTTAAAATCCTTCTGCACAACATTTTGAGGCTAACTTCATGCTAGAGATCTACAAATGTACAACTTAACACAAAAATACATTCGGAGTCCATTCCAATGCAAGTTTAAAACACTTTAATTGCAGACAATGTAAAGATATTTAAAAAACAAAAACTATAAAATGAGCACATAAAAGTCTTCCCTTTTGAATTTTTAATAAAATACTGCTCTGTATAAGATCTAATGAAAAAGTCCAGTTACTTATAAAATAGCTATGTGAGAAAAGAAATGAATTAAGGTATATATGTATGAATTATATTGTTTAAATGAACAGAGTGTTGAACACTTTGATGATACAGCACACTATTTATTATTCATATATCAAAATAGAGGAAAACCCTCAAAGAAGCAACTGGGTGCAAGCAAAAGAAAATGTAGGAGACCTGAGGCAACAAAACAACAAAAAAAACCCAAACCCCAAAACAAAGGAAAAAGTCCCTTAGCTGTAAAGGGAAAGGAATAAAATAACTTAAAGCAAACTGTGGACCAAATTCTCAGTCTTTATTTCATGAGAAACAGTATGAGAATTTGGCTTCAAATTACTAAAACATCTGTATAAACTTAATTATTTGGCCTAGGCAATTTAATAGTATACCAATTGCTGAAATCAATAGCAATGGATGTACTGCTGGAAAAAAATTAATTTTTACAGGTTTAACTATGTAAAACTATCTACTGGAAACCAGAGTCTCCATCACAAATTGCACTTGAGATGGCTGAATGCATTGATTGAGCAAGGCATAATTGTTGGTTCACTGACATACATACAAACACAAAAGCAGTTATAGATTGCTGATACTCTTAATTACTAAAACTATTTTACACATTTCCACCCCCCCCAAAAAAAAGAGCAATACCCGAGCTGTTAACTCAGTATAGTAACAGGGACATTTCCACACGCCTGCTGACTCAGTACCATTGCCTGTCTGTTTCAACACTGTTTCTTACTGCTCCCTGGCAGAATATGGAGAGGTCTGATGGAAATACGAACCAGGTCAGTTTGAAATATTCATTTCTGGAATTTTAAGCTTTATCCTGACTAGGAAAGGAAGCTCCTGTGAAAAACACTGTTCCACTGACAAAGCTTACAAAATATAAAGAACACTGCCAGTTTGAGTACTATCACTATCTCTAGAAAAATGATAAAGGAACTTAAGTGATTAATTTTTTTTTTAAAGTAGAGAATGCTTGTCACAGTTATATCTCTCCAATAAATTAATTCTCCTCTATAGTAAAAACACACTTTGGAGGCAAGGTGATCCTAAGAAAGATAGCAAGCTTGAAAAGCTGGGAAATTATACACTGTTGCTTTAAAAAAGATGCTCTGAACAATGAGACAAAGCACGTTAGGCCTAACTTCAGTGGAGATCTAGACAGTTTTCTCTACCTTAAGGTAAAAATTAGACAACCACTACAAAAATGTATGATTCATTAATACAAATAGAACAGATGATTAAAAAGTGAGTAAATAAAAAAGCCCCTGCAACTTATCTATTTCCTTGAGCTAGAAAGATACAGTCTGAAAATGCAGTGAGTGGATATATCTTATTTAATTGGTTTCCTTCTTCCAACTCCTCCTTCACTGCTTCTCCCCTTAAATGAAGACTGTAGATTAGTTTGGAAATAACAGTCTAAAACCAAAGCAAATACTTGATCATAGGAAAGGAAAAACAACAAAAAACCTGCATCAAGAGTTCATCTCTCCCACCAATAGAAAAACAAAAACAAAAACAAAAACAAACCTTATCTTTTCAGTTTTAAAAGAACTCCTTATCCCTCTGAAAAGCAAGAACATCTTAAATTGAAACCAAGGTACACACAGAGGCAAAATTAATGTTTCATGCAACTGACTCTCCGATGTTTAAGACTTTAGTCTACATGATGTTTAAATCAATTAATACATTTTGTCAAATTATAAAACTAGGTGATGATCAGCTAATGCAGGCAATTGTAACAAGGAACAATGAGACTAGAAGATTCAATTTCAAAATTCACTTAATGCACTAAAAAAAAAAAGAGGGAAACTACTGAGTAAGAATATTTAGATTTAACTTCTTCCGTTACGTGGAAGCATGAAGCAATTTGGGCACTCTGCTCTCCTATACCCTATAGAGACCACAGCTTTCACAGAAAGTTTACAGCAGATTCAACAGTCGAATGGGCATATTTCTAAACTTGGAGCTGGTCGGGGTTTGCCCCATCCAAGAGGGAAAAACTAAGTTTCCCATACTATCAACGAATCCAGTGTCCTAGAGATTATCATGAGATAAAAATAGTCTCTGTTTCTTATGTCCTGCACAGGGAGGCACAAGTCCTGCTTATCTCCTATTGATCTCATGCCCATATTGGAACAGGTCTACAAAGGAAAAGGAACAGAGATGAAGGCTTGACCACTAATCTAGTCATTATCGAGCTCTTTCCTATTTTAATCTCTCTTCAATCTTGACCTTTAGAATACTATGTGTTTTTTAAAAAGGGAGGAAGGAACAAAAAGAAAACACTTTTGCTGCCTATCCGTGTAGAATTATAAACTCACTTTGCTCAAACACTGGGGTAATATCCTTATGGGTTCAGTGGCAATATGCTTGTTGAAATTCATCTTGGAGTTTTCAGAAGAATGGCACATGCTCCTTCCTTTGTACTCTAAAAAAGATGTGGGTTGTGCACTGTTTTTAGAAGGGCCACATAGCAGTGATGAGCGAGGCAATTCTTGAATGCTAGAGTTTGCACAGGTACATAAGGTGAAAAATATTAACACACTTTAAAGTAGTAAGAGGTTAACAGAACATTATTATCACAATTTAACTTTTTTGTTTTGTATTCTCATAATAGAGATTTCCTTTTAAAACAAATATAGAGTTTGTGAGACACTAAGGACAAACACTGAGAATTATTTGAGCCTCATTATTCAAGATCCCACTACAGATAAACATTCCCAACAAGGACATGCTGGGAACCAATGAACATCTGAATCTGGAAAATTAACAGAAAATAAAATCACAGACGCTCTCATGACTATAATAAATGACAGATAATGAACATTTATCTCTTACACTAAAGGCACTACTAATATACAAATATCCTCTTAACATTTAGAGAAACTCTGAAATCAGCAGTTAGAGAAAGGAATCCATTTAGTTCAATACAAGCATTTAAAAAAAAAAAACAGACTAAGACTCATGGCGGGGTTTTTAATGAGTTAAATGAAACTGGATATAATAAGCAGCTCCATATAAACATTATGGTTCCTACTTTTTAAAAAAGTATGATAACTTACTTCCTTAAAAATATAAGCATATCACAAAAACTAAAGGATGTGTGTGTGTGTGTGTGTGTGTGTGTGTATGTGTATACATGTAAAAACTCAGGCCCTGGTACCACTGAGAAATTTTCATAAATTCTAAAATAATTTCAACAGCCACGGCTTGAACACTACACACCCATACATGACATGCAAAGACAAAATGCCAGAGTCACTGAACAGTTCAGCATAAAGCTAAAAATATGGAAACAGAATGAGATAGGCGTTTGTCATGTAAATAAAGTACATCACAAACTGATTGTGCCTGTATTTAGCACACCTCAGAATTTTTTAAAAAAATTAGAATTTCATCAGTCTCAAGAAGCACTACACATGGACCAACAAAGAAGCTCTCATGTATGTTTAAGCAGGTAAAAAGCTATACAAAAGAATAACACAATTTATTTCAACTAACAACATGATTAATATATTTTACTTTATTCTATTAGAAGATTAATTTGTAGTCCTTGTACCCTGTAGATTTTGAAACAATTTTATTAGAAATTTCTAATGCTGGTTCTTGAATAATCTAAAAAATTGTAATTACTTGCTCAAATCTAGATTGCTATTTATAGTTCTAAGCAGTTAATTGAAATACTCTGATCAGTATTCTAAAGTTGCTTTGGTACAAAATTTAGAATAAAGCAAAACTGGCAGCACCACCACAAGTGTGATCATTTCACAGCAGGTCTAAAGGACCCTCAGAGAAAACAAAATGTAAGTTAAAATACTTTAAGAGCCATTCTCCTGACAAACCTGTCACATCATTAAAAAGAGAAATAAAATCCACATTCAGTAGATTATACTTGAGGCCCAATTTTCATGCTCCATTTAATTATCCCTCAATAGTGTAAAAATTTTTTTTACTATTATTGCACTATGATGTCTAATTCATAGTTCAGGATACTTCTATTGATGAGAGGCCGAGTTAGAGTGGTACATTTTAATGCTTAGTCCACTGATACTATTTTAACACAAGGTTTAATTTAGTTTTTCTTTTTTACAGCTTTACTGAGGTATAACTGATGTAAAACTGCACATGTTTAAGATGCACAATTTGATATAGCATGAAAAGTGCCTGACAACAAATTAAAAATTTTAATTGAAAAGAAAATTTTTAATCAAAACATACTATTTTAAAATAGTACATTCTAATTTTTTATGAGACACAGATATGGATTTCTAAAAAGGTGGGTGGAAAGGAAAGAAATTAATTTAATTCCAAGTACCAAATTTATTCAGAAGGTTTAGAAACGCCAAAATTGACGGCCAGTTTTCTTGATTTTCTTCTTGAAGATGAGCTCGGTGTGGACTTGTGATGAGACATACTATGGCCTTGGGAGGCAGCTTCAGCTTGAAAAGAAGATGCAGGTTGAGTAATCTGAGAGGACTTTAAGGAAGCTGATGAACTCTCCTGTGGAATCACTTTGGTGACAATGGAAGACCCTGGCTGGCTAGTCTGAAGCGGGGTAGCTTGAGAACTCTGGGCCTCCTTACTCTCAAAGTTCTTTTTATTTGCAACCCTTTTTTTAGTAACCTTTAAGGAATAAAAGTGTCGTTAATTAACAATGTACACAGAAAAAACTAGTGTCATAAACCATGTTGCTAATATCTGTCAATTATGCTGACTTGTGACTTCCACTTATAGTCTCCAAACCAGACTTCAGAAATTAAAAGAAATTTTAAAATTCTCCCTAACTTAAAAATAAAGAAAATTTATATTCCTGATTTTAAAATCACTTTGTGCTAGAAAATACTTGCTGTAATTATTACTGGTCACTGCTGGTCATAATATGTATTCTTTTTAAAAAAAATATATATAGAGAGAGATTATGTGTAGAGTGTAGAGATTATGTAAAAAAAAATATATATATATACATAAATATATTTTTTAATCTCTACACTCAATGTGGGTCTTAAACTCATGACCCTGAGATCAAGAGTCGCATGATCTACTGACTAAGCCAGACAGGCACCCTGACAACCAGTCATTAATATATATTCTTAGCACCCAGACCAGTACTGGGCTTCTGGTTGGCATTCAATCAGTAATAATTAAACAAATTTTTCTCAGTAGTTCTTAAGCATTAACAAATTAACTCTCTTAAAAATACAGTAATTGTCTTTTCAGGTCTCACCTGTAGAGGTATGAACTGATTGTGCACACCACCTGGCATTCCCCCAGCCATGGGCATGGTCCCAGAATATGAAGAATGATGAAATGGCTTCCCAGGAACTGGCACTGGTGGTCCCCATGGCATGGATCCAAAGAGATGAGATGATGAAGGCATTATATTAGCTGTTAAAAATCATGGACAATTTCTTTTTTAGTAAAATGGGTATCATCAAAGTCCTGAAATTTAAGATCTCCTTCAGCTACCCTTTTGTGGTTTTTTTTTTTTTTCCCATCTTGGCAATGGGCCTACACTTGACTGATGATTAATTTTGCTTACAAGATTCCACCTCGGGAGCCCCCGTTCGGACTGTGAACTATCTACATAAGACAGCTTGTCATTTATGTTGTCTGGTCTACTAAGGCCAATAGTACCATATACTTATATGAGCTTTAGGAATATTTGATACTATTTAAAAAAGTAATAAAAGGATTATGAAACTGTCCCTTTGGGGAGAAAAGCCAGGGCACAAAGACAGAAATCTTAAAGATCTCACCTGCCCCCAGTGCTAAGTTGCTTCCATAGTGATCCCAGCCTACAAAAAAACCAAAAAAGCTCAAGTCTTGAACTCTGATCACTTTCATATGACATGTAGAATCTTTTTCCTATTCTAGTACTTGTAATTAAAGGATTTAAAAAAATTACATTTTGTTTCTTAAAAGTACACTGAATTGTGGTTTCCAAAACCGATTTGTATATTGGAATCACCCGGGGAGTTTGTCTAATACAGATTCCTGGGCAAGGCCACAGGCCTAGTAAACCACTCAGAAGGGCCCAGGAATCTGTATTTTTTGAAGTATAGCTGACATACAATATAATATGAGTATCAGGTGTACAACAGTGATTTGACAGTTAGATACATTACAAAGTGCTCACCGTAAGTGTGGTTACTACCTGTCATCATACAAAGTTATATTATTGAATATATTCCCTCAGCTGTACTTTTCATCTTTGTGACTTGTTTATTTTATAACTGGAAGTTTATACCTCTTAGTCCCTTCACCTGTTTGCCCATCCGCCCATTCCCTTCTCCTCTAACCACCACGTTTAATCTGTATTTATGAGTCTGTTTCTGTTTTGTTTTAGATTCTACAAATAAATGAAATCATACGGCATTTGTTTTTCTGTTTTACTTTGATGGACACTCAGGTTTCTTCCATAAGCGTGCATACATCTTTCTGAATTAGTGTTTTTGTTTTCTTTTTTTAAAGATTTTTTTTTTTTAATTTTTTTTATTCATGAGAGGCAGAGAGAGAGAGAGAGGCAGAGGGAGAAGCAGGCTCCCAAGGAGCAGGGAGCCCGATGCGGGACTCGATCCCAGGACCCTGGGATCATGACCTGAGCGGAAGGCAGATGCTTAACCATCTGAGCCACCCAGGCGCCTGTGTTTTTGTTTTCTTTAGGTAAATACCCAGAAGTAGAATTGCTGGATTATATGGTACCTCTATTCTTAATTTTTTGAGGAGCCCAAGGAAATCCGTATTTTGTTTATTTTTAGAGGGGAGGGAGGGGCAGAGGGAGAGGGAAAGAGAATCTTTTTTTTTTTAAGATTTTATTTATTTATTTGACAGACAGAGAGACAGAGAGAGAGGGAACACAAGCAGGGGGAGTGGGAGAGGGAGAAGCAGGCTTCCCACGGAGCAGGGAGCCCAATGCAGCGCTCGATCCCAGGACCCTGGGATCATGACCTGAGCCGAAGGCAGATGCTTAACACTGAGCCACCCAGGCACCCTGAGAAAGAGATTTTTAAACAGGCTCCATGCCCAAAGTGGAGCCTGATGTGGGGATCTATCCCATGACCCTGAGATCATGACCTGGGCTGAAATCAAGAGTCAGATGTTTAATCGACTGAGCTACCCAGGTGTCCCAAACTTGTCGTTTAATGTAGTAGTTCCCAAATGCTGCACTGGTAGTGACTGCATAAAAATCCACCTGTGGAGCTTAACAATACAGATTCCTGGGGTGCCTGAGGGGCTCGGTCAGTTGAGTTTCTGACTCTTGCTTTCAGCTCAGTCATGATCTCATGGTTGTGAGATCGAGCCCCATGTCGGGCTCTGCACTCAGTGTGGAGTCTGCTTGAGATTCCCTCTCCTTCTCCCTCTGCCCCTCCCCCTGCTGGCGCAGGTGCTCTCTCTTCCCCTCTCTCTCAAATAAATAAAATCTTTTTTTAAAAAGACTTTTATTTATTTGAGAGAGAGAGAGAGCATGAGAAGGGGGGAGGGTCAGAGGGAGCAGCAGACTCCCCACTGAGCAGGGAGCCCCATGCAGGACTCAATCTTAGTACTCCAGGATCATGACCTGAGCCGAAGGCAGTAGCTTAACCAACTGAGCCGCCTAGGCTCCCTAAAATAAATAAATAGGGGCACCTGGGTGGCTCAGTCAGTTAAGCATATAATTATACCAATTATACTAAAAATGTATATATAGTTACTGGGTTCATTTTTGAAAGTGAAAAGCCTGTCAAATTAGATTTTGGAAGTCACAGTGAACTTACTCCCTTGAGCTATATGAAAACATCAGATTTATTTAGTCATAAAAATTTTATGACTAGGGCGCCTGGGTGGCTCAGTCGGTTAAGCGGCTGCCTTCGGCTCAGGTCATGGTCCCAGGGTCCCAGGATCGAGCCCCGCATCGGGCTCCCTGCTCAGAAGGGAGTCTGCTTCTCCATCTCCCACTCCCCTTCCTTGTGTTCCCTCTCTCACTGTCTATCTCTCTGTCAAATAAATCAATAAAAAATCTTAAAAAAAATTTTTTTATGAATAAAGCATTGTTTATACAGGCAAAGAAATGCCAGTGCAGTACAGTAACAAAAGCATGGACTTTGGAATCAGAAAGACTTGGGTTTGAATGCCAGTTTTGCTACTCAGGAACTTATGTCCTTAGACAAATTACATTTTCTTAAAAAGTCAAAGTAGTACATACACATTGTAGTAAAAAGATTTTCAACATAGTATAATATCCCAGGTTTAACTGTTTTAGCTATTTATTTCCACCACTGTTCAATAATTTGCTTCTACTACTACTGATTTTTCAATGTTAGGCATTTTTAGGTCTACTGACTTCCTATTAAGATAGATCAAAATCAAAATTATTTTATACAACCCCTTACTACTAGCTCTGTCCTTCCAATATAAACATATCACAATATTTGTTTAAATATATAAGAGGGGTTTACAGTATGTGGTTGCGTAAATATTGTCATTGCAGAGCCAAACAGGGTACTCTGATTATGTTCTTTTCTTGTAAAACTTTTTTTTACTCTTTTAAAAATAATTATCTTTTTAAAACTTCTTAGTCTTCTATGTACTTAGCCTTGATGTTTTTCCAAATGCCACCCATTTATCAGATAACTATCTTACCTTCCAAGACCCCACCTCTTCTCTTCCAACTAGGACTACTTTCTAGACCTGCTGAGCAGCTGACATGCTGGGACTTCCATTCATTGCGTAAGTATACGAGATCTCTTGTGCTGTATCTTACGGTTTTTTTTCTTCTTTCTTTCCTTCTTTGTGTCTTCCTTTTTTTCTTTCTCCTTTTCTTTCTCTCCCTCTCTTACAACTACTTTGTTTATAATCCTCTAGCTTTTTTTTTTTTTTAAAGATTTTATTTATTTGACAGAGAGAGAAATAGCGAGAGAGGGAACACAAGCAGGGGGAGTGGGAGAGGGAGAAGCAGGCTCCCCTCGGAGCAGGGAGCCAGATGTGGGGCTCGATCCCAGGACCCTGGGACCATGACCTGAGCTGAAGGCAGTCGCTTAACGACTGAGCCACCCAGGCCCCGTTTTTTTTAAAGATTTTATTTATTTGAGAGAGAGAATGAGAGAGAAAGAGCACATGAGAGGGGAAGGGTCAGAGGGAAAAGCAGACTCCCTTTTGAGCAGGGAGCCCAATGCGGGGCTCAATCCCGGGACCCTGGGATCACGACCTGAGCCGAAGGCAGATGCTCAATGACTGAGCCACCCAGGCGCCCCAATCCTCTAGCTTCTTAAGAAAGGGTGCATAAGAAGTAGATCTGCCTGTCTAAAAATGTCTTTATTCTACCTTGTACTACATTCATAGTTCGGCTATACAAAGAAATCTATGATAAAACTTAATTTTGCCTCCGAATTTTGATGTATTCAATGCTCAAATGCTTCCCAGTTCTCTTCAGACATCCTCTGTATCACTGGTATTCTCAATTTCAAGGCAATCTCTATCTCTTTTCATTCACCGTGCTAAGCATTTGGTGGCCCTTTCAATTTAGAGTTGCATGTCCTTTAGTGCAGGAAATGTTTTTATCTTATTTCTTTGATACTTTCTTCCTTTCTGTTTGTCTCTGGTTTATTGTTCTGGAACTCCAATTAGATGGGTACTGGATCTTGTACTCTTCCTCTAAATCTCCCTTCTTTCTGATTTTCCAGTTTTTCTCTGGTTCTTCCTGAGATTTCTTTGGCTTTGCTAAAGCTTTATCTATTGGAATTTAAAATTTCAACTTAACAATTTAGTTCTTATTCTCCAATTAGTCTTTTTGTCCCCCCTTACATTCTTTCTTATGTTTTGGTTGCAATACTGTTTTATCTAAGTATATTAACTATGAGCTATCTTTGAAGTCTCATTTCCTAAATTATCTCTATTTCTAGGTCCCTTTCATTTCTCTCTATTTTGGGCTTTCTCCTTTAATTTTAGAGATTTCCCCAAAATGTTCAGGATCTCTCACAGTCTAGTATCTATTCATATTAAAGAGCAAGGCACCAAAACTGTGATTAGAAGCAGTGTTTGTGTTAAGGGGCTACATGACTTGAGGGCTTCTCTCTAGAACAGTCCTAGAGAGATCCACTTCTTACTTGGTAGTGAGCAGCCTTTTGGTTGGATATCTTCCAAAAGTCACCAGGTCTTTTCTTCAGAGTCCAGTAAGTTTCTGAAAAGAACCATATTCCCACCTCCTATCTGAGCTACGGCTGGCTACAAACTGAGAATAGGCTGGGGAAAAGGAGCTTTACCTTAATAGCAGTTTTCAGCCTTCTATCTCTACTCTGTGCCTGGTGTCCCCATATTTAGGGAGCCCTCTGGAGAACATACCTCCAGTGCTCTGCCTGAAGAGGCAACTGCCTGGCTGTGTGGGGGAGGGATCTGAGGAGGAGCCGCATTCCTCCAAATATAGACTTTGAAACAATCCTCCTCTTTTCAGCCCATGCCTCACTGGAAGCTCTGATAGCTTCTGACACTTCCAAGTTCTGAATCTCTTGGGATTTGTGAGGGATGAGCTGCTCATCAACTCATTAAGATACTTTAGTTTATAACTTACCACTGCTCTATGAAATTAGTTACTACTCCTTCAATTGCTTTTCTTATCACAAACTCTTTTCAAATTTCTAACCTGCTGGTATCTCCTCTTTCACCTCTCTGTCCTTGTAGGTTTATGCTTTTAAAATCACTTACTGTTCAGTTTCATGTAGTTTGAGCAAAGAGAAGAGATAACTTGTTTAATCAGCATTATTAAATTTTCTAATGCTTGTAGTGAAGATTAGATATATAGAGCTCCTAGAATAAACCTGGCACACAGCAGGCTCAGAAATTTTCTAAACTTGAAATAAACAAATGATTGGTTTTAAAATGATAATGATTAGGATATAAAGAAGCCAAATGCTATTAGGAAAAAGAGGTGATAAAAGACATGTTTAATGAGCTAAAGATTTAGAATCATAAAATTACAAAATGGTAGTCTCAAAGAAATCCTGGATACAGTCTAGCATAAATAAGAAAATGGAGTTCCAAAGAACTTACATGATTTTCTCAAAGTCAGTTAATAAAAGAGCCTGGACAAAAAACCATCCTGATTCCACAGTGACCTTTTCATTCCCTCAGAACATTAGGAAGACCCCAAATGGCTACAGGAAGCAGGGAGCTACCTGCTTGATAACTCAGGCTCTACATTTGAAGGAGGACGACAGTTATGAGAGAATATTAAGAGATACACAGTAAGCTTAAAAACTCCTTCATTCTTCATTTCCTTCATCATCAAGGGCAGTTTCATATCCACAGCTTCAAAGCCTTACCTGTTTATTCCTTCCCTTCCACCTCTGTTCTCTCTCCCCTTTCCCCACCTGTGTTTTGATGTCTGATTTAAACCCAAATTCATCTGTTGGCAGCTACTGGGGAATAAGGGAACTGTTCTTTGCCCAGAACAAAGAACAGTCCTACTTTAGCCACACTGGAAGCTGTAGAAGGGGAATGATATTTCTAGATGAATCCGCAGGCTCTGGTTTCAGACTTACTTCTCCCAATTCCTTCTTACATTCCTTAGACATTTAAAGAAATTTTTTGGTTTTCTCAAAATGATGCTTCTTAAAATAACTTTCCAAAAACAGTAACTCAGTAACAAATATTTATTTTATTTTTTAAAGACTGTATTTATTATTTGAGATAAAGCAAGTGAGAGAGAGAGAGAGCATGAGGCGGGAGGCAGAGGGAGAGGGAGAAGCAGACTCCCCACTGAGCAAGAAGCCCGATGAGGACTCGATCCCAGAACTCCAGGATTATGACCTGAGCCAAAGGCAGACACTTAACCGACTGAGCCACACAGGCGCCCCAATAACAAATAATCAGAAGAGCCAAATACCTTACCAGTAGGTTGAGGAAAAACTGGGGGAACGGTTCCGGGTGGTACAGCAGGAGGATAATTTGGAAATATTGGTGGAGGCAAAGGGAAATTCACTCCTAAGGAGCCCTATGGAAGTATTTAAAAGTTAGAAGACAATGCAACCAAAACATCTATAGAGATTAATTGAAAGTTTAGTAGAGAAGTTATGATCAAATCTTACCAATTGTTGTAAAGCAAAAAGTGCGGCTTTTTCCTTGGCTTCATTTTCAGAATGGCACTGTGGCCCATGTACCAGTAAGCCATTAGATAATTTTACCTGGCAAACTGTCATTGTCTAAAAAAGAGAATATGAATGTCTCTGAAGTTATCTTTCTAGGACATTGACCTCCTCCCCCCCAAGCTTAGTCTAAACAAGCATGTGACATTCTGTAAAAAATTCAAAAATTCAAAAGAGCAATCAATTTAGTTTTGGGTTGCCCTGCAAAAACTTTAGAATTGTTTCCTTATCTTGCAATGTTTACAAAATAAAATACTCTTTAAGCTAGCTGAAGGGTCAAGAATCCTAATGCAAACGAAAGCCAACAAAATTTTTCTTTATACCAAGGATTGGAAACTGGGCCTTTTGCTCGTTTTTGTAAGTAAGATTTTTTGTTTGTTTGTTTTTTTGCAATACAGCCAAGTCCATTCTTTCATGTATTGCCTGTGTCTGTTTTCATACTATAACAGCCCAGCTGAGGAGCTGTGACAGAGACCACAAAGCCTAAAATATTTACTATTTGGCCCTTGAAAAAAAAATTTGCTGACTCGTGCTTTACACTGTCCTCCGAATAGCAGGTATTTCATTAATATGAATTAACTGCCAAAATCTAAAAGACTTAGTGGTAATGACCAATTTTATGTTCACATTTAAGTTATAACTCTCTATTATACATTTTTTTCTTCTACAAAAAAAAATTTTTAAAAATTCTTTTTTAAAAAGGTAGTCATTTTTATGTAATAATATTAGTTTAAGATTGCTTTCTGTTTTAGGTGAGAATGTATCAAGAACTTGGATATAAAGAGGATAAAACAACCTTTCCTGTAGTAAGTGGTTCTCAAGGTGCAGTCTGGGGAGCCTGAAACCCTTTCAGGAGGTCCTTGAGGTCGAAACTATTTTCATAATAATATTAAGGTGCTATTTGCCCTTTCCACTCTTAGTTTCTCACAAGTATACAGAGGACAGAAAACTCACTGATACAGCTTTAGATTGTACATTGCAACTAACTTCTAAGAAAATACCACTTTTAAATGTAGTATCAAAAAATATCCATTATCTGAAAAGGTTATTAAAATTCTCTCCCTTTCTCTATCAGTCTGTCTGGGGCCAGATTTTCTTCAGGTATTTCAACCAAAACATATCATAAGAGATTGATAATAAGAAGCAGATATGAGAATCTAGTTCTTCCGTTAAGCTAGGGATGGAAAAGATTTGCAAAACTGTAGAGCAGTGCTACTCCTAAATTTTTGAAGTTATTTTTAATAAATATTTTTAATTTTTTTCAGTTTCAATTTCCAATAGAGTTAATAAGGACATAACACAAGTAAACAAAAATTTGGGGGGTCTTCAAAAAAAAAGTGGGAGTTTATGAGGCCAAAAGTTTGAAAACTACTGCTGTAGACCAAGATCCCTAGCTCTATCAATCTGTCCAGGGTACATGGTGCCCAGGTTCCTCTGTCAGCATCTCTGTGGGCTCTGGCATAAATATGAGTGAGCCATAGTGGGAAGTAAAAATCTATGCTGCTCATAAAGTAAAAAAAACAAACAAAAAAACCCAGCTCCATTATATTATTTTTGCCAAAGATTTTCAGTCAATTTATTTAAGTTCAGTGTTAAAGAAATTATATAAATGGAACAGTAATATACTATACCTGTGGTGTTCTAAGAAAGGAGAAATCTGGTTGTAGCATTCCAACAAGGGAACAAATTCGAGAAAGTTCAGTTACTGGTGTGGACACAGGAGGGATATGGCTGGGAGCAGGCCAACACACATGGTCCATAGACTGAACATTATGGTATTCGCTAGTACTGTGAAGCTTATTCATATAAGATGCTACCAAAAAACAGAAAAGGATATATATATATATATATTAAATTACATATTGAACTGTGCGATTATTATAGGGTTTTATAGACAGCAAACAGAAAATTGTTAAAAGGTTAAAAGAGGAATCTCTTGGGGCGCCTGGGTAGCTCAGTTGGTTAAGCAACTGCCTTCAGCTCAGGTCATGATCCTGGAGTCCTGGGACTGAGTCTCACACCTGCTTCTCCCTCTGACCCTCTCCCCTCTCATGCTGTTTCTCACTCTCTCTCAAATAAATAAAATCTTAAAACAAAATAACAGAGGAATCTCTCATGAAGCAAATACAGGAATTATTTAGTATTTCCTAAAATTACCAAGAATTCAATAGAGATTTTTAGATGATTATAACTGATTAATCATACATGACTAAGATAAAGATTTTAAAATTTGGTTAAGTAGGAGACTACCAAAAACTGACATCTTGAGAGATCAATGACTATATAGTTATGTTTGAGCAAAGCAAAATTTGAACAAGCAGTTTTCTTGAGCTGATTTACAATGAATTCCTAAGTTTTGAGGCTTTGGCTTCAGTCTTACTTGTCAAAATTCCATCTTACATTCTGAGACACATGGATAAACGGTTTTGTTGCTCCCAAATGATGCTGCTTAAAAGTTTTTCTAAAAGTAACCCTTTTAGGGGTGCCTGGGCGGCTCAGATGGTTGGGCATCTGCCTTTGGCTCAGGTCATGATCTCAGTGTCCCGGGATCGAGTCCCACATAGGGCTCCCTGCTCAGCAGGAAGTCTGCTTCCCCTTCTCCCTCTGCCTGCCGCTCCCCCTGCTTGTGCTCTCTGCCTCTCTTTCTCTTCCTCTCTCAAATGAATAAATAAAATCTTAAAATAAAATAAAAGTAACCCTTTTAAAAAGTGCCTTTATAGAAGATGATAAAAACATTCTAAAAGTTCACTTTCTTTATGATCAACAAAAACAGAACAAGAGCATATATCCCAGTGAAGAATGAAACTAAGCCTCTTATTATTAAAGATTAAAAAAAGGTAAGTGGCTTGTCCAAAGTCACAGAACTTATTAGCTCTGTAATTTGGGCTGGATTCTGAGCTCTTGACTCTAAGAGATATGATATTCTTCACTATTCTGAAATAAAGTTACTTGTTTATGATAGTGGAACCATCTTTTTCCAGTTTTGTTTTAAAATTTTTATTTTGTTCTATTTTAAGAGCATGTATGTCACCATGATAGTTTCTTAATAGTTACTGGAATTTTAAATTATTTATTCTAATATTCACTAAAATAGAAAATAAACGAAGCTAAGCTCTGATTTTGATCCTTAATGAACTCATATCTGTTTATTTCAAAATGCTTTTTACCTCTAGAAACTTCTGTCCCCACTTACTTTTATATTAGTCATTTTTCCTAGGAGGCTTCTGCAGATAATTTACACAGGCAAAATACTAAAGTATAGGGGACACAGAGAGTAGGAGCAATGATGGACGTGTATTAAAATCTGGCTATGTGCCAGATGGTATGCTACAGGCTTCACAGTTTTAAGATAAGTACCTACTTTCCAATGTCTACCTTAATTTTTTTTTTTTTTTTAAGAGAGGGAGAGAGAAAGGGGGTTGGGGCAGAGGGTAAAGGAGAGAGAGAATCCCAAGCAGGCTCCTTGCCCAGCACAGAGCCTGATGCAGGGCTTGATCCCACAACCCTGAGGATCATGACCTGAGCCAAAATCAAGAGTTGTACGTTTAACCGACTGAGCCACCCAGGCGCCCCTCCATTAATTACTTTTAATTGATTTTATAGCTTTTTCTATTTTTATATTGGTCAAGCTACTGTAACATAGTATTGATATCAATTATTGGTACCTATAATATGCCAGACACAGTGCTAACTGCTTTATATGTATCATATAATTATCATAAGTCATTTGCAATGTTATTCTCATTTTGTAAATAGAAAAAAAAATCTTAAAATCTTAATAAAGTTAAATAATGTATTTAAAGTTACATAATTGTTTTTAAATTACTGAGAAGAAAACTAGAATGTGAAAACTTTTCTAGGTTTGGGTACTACAGAATGAGTATCTGCAACAGCACAATTTAATCACAAGACAGGGACTACAGATCTATTGGTTACAGTTATATTACTATTTAATGACACAAGCATAAAAATTATACTCTTGTTTGTTACTCTTAATTATGCTCTTTTAAAAATGTATGTGGTTTTGGGGGCGCCTTCGGCTCAGGTCATGATCCCAGGGTCCTGGGATCGAGCCCCACATCGGGATCCCTGCTCGGCAGGAAGCTGCTTCTCCCTCTTCCATTCCCCCTGCTTGTGTTCCCTCTCTCACTGTGTCTCTCTCTGTCAAATACATAAATAAAATCTTAAAAAAAAAAAAAATGTAAGTAGTTTTATCTTCAAAAAGCACATGACAAAAAAAACCCCAAATGAATCGCAGTTTTGAAATGATATTGGTTATTAGTAATAGTACTTAGTTTACGTACTTAATTTCTTATTTTGTTTAGCCTGGGAGGAAGGTCCATATTCATCTCTTCTATTAGAGGAAACAGTGACTTCATTACCAAACTGCTTCATTTCATTTTTATGGTCCACAGCATCAGAGCCATCAATTTTTAGTATTTCTTTAAGCATCCGAGTTCCCTTCTGTTTTGAAAATGGTATGGAGATGGTGGGGGTAGGTAGAGAAAAGTTAACATTAGACTTACAGAGCTTATAAACCCTTCTTTTTATGAGTTCCATTGTTAAAAATTAAGATGGTAACTACATTCAGATAGGAGTTAAGTGAAATCAAAGGTCTAGAGCTGAAAAAAAATACCCACATTTCCTGCCATAGAAACAATACTTAATTCTTTTGCTTAATCTAACCAAATTGCCTGGTAGCAATGTTTGAAAAGCAAGGGAGCTATATGGTTTAAAGAGGAAAACAAACAAAAAAAACAGACAGCTAAATTGCCCAGGGCAGCCTGGTTTTCCTCACAAAATGACAATAATGATGTAACACACCAGTACACGGGAGACAAAACTGTTTAACAGTTGCATGGGGTATGTACGCATAGGCCACAACAGTGAAATTACTATAGTATAAAAAGCTCCTACAAAATACGAACCATAGCAAATGATTGTGGTGACAAAAGTTCTTCACTTGGAGGCTCTTCATGATGAGATGACTGTACTTCATTTTCTTTGGAGATATTCAAGGATGCTAAAAAGTTCTCAATTCCAGGGTTAGGCTAAAAGAATAAATATTTTGTGCATGAAGATGAAAATATAAGGACGTGGAAAAAGTTAAGAATTTTAGGTACAAAAATGATCATTTAATGCTCACTTAATCATCTTCCCAGTAGAGTTCGGGAAAAGAAATTGAATAAATGGTCTTTTACCTTATCAATAGCATTTGAGTAACTGGTCACAACCTTCTGGTTTTCTGAGACTTCTGCACTTTCATTTCTCTTCAATAGCTTAATATTACATTTGGCAGGCCCTCCAAGCATCTATAAAAGAGTAAGAATGAGCTTTCTGTGCAAATAAAATAGCTGTTACTTAATAGTGTTGTAAATAAATTGCTGCCAATATTTTATGTGCCATTTTCTTTTATATCATAAGAAGGGGACCTATAAACTTGGATGAGGAAAAACTTAGATCTTTATCTTCATTAACTTCTATATGAATTTAGAAGTTTTCCTTCAATTATGAATGTAGGCAATAGAGGTGATTCTAATTGTATTTCAACATAATTAATTTTCTTTCAAATCTTATGTATTTTATTTTAGCATTAAAAACATTATTCTGGGGCGCCTGGGTGGCTCAGTCGTTAAGCGTCTGCCTTCGGCTCAGGTCATGATCCCAGGGTCCTGGGATCGAGTAAGAGTAAGCATTGGGCTCTTGGCTCGGTAGGAAGCCTGCTTCTCCCTCTCCCACTCCCCCTGCTTGGGTTCCCTGTCTTGCTGTGTCTTTCTCTGTCAAATAAATAAATAAAATCTTTAAAAAAAATTATTCTGAGAAAGAATCCATAAAAAAGTTTATAAATCCCTTCTCTAGAAAAAAGGAAATTATAGCTAAGAGTTTCAGAAAAAGAGGCCTTAAAAGTCAACCATTTCCTGGTATCTAAATATTAATGGGTTCCATTTACTGAGACCCTGTTATGTGCTGAATATTCTGCTAAGATGTCTTTTATAAATTTGATACATTACTAGCTTATAAGAGATCTAATTTTTAAAAACTTTGTATGACAATAATATGCATATAGAAAATACATATACTGTAAGTGTATGTGAATGTTTTTAGAGTAAAAATTTGTTATTCTTTGATTGTAAAATGTATATTCTCCTTATCAATCAGCAGAGACTATACAAAGTAAAACAAATGATCTCAGCTTCCTCCTACCAAGTTACTCCACAGAATTAACCGTTAACTTTGCTATGTTGATTATAAATGATTCACTGAATACATACACATATTTTCACATATTTTATACATATATACATACATTCATGTATGTAAGTATGTTCGTATGTATGCAGGTACGGTATGTATATATAGACCACATATATGGAGTGAGACAAGTGATCTATTTTTACTCCATTTTAAAGATGAAGATAGTTGAGGCTGTGAGAGGTATAGTGAATTGCTCAAGGCCACCCAACTATTAAATATATGTGTATGTATGTGTGTGTGTGTGTGTGTGTGTATAATGCCAAATCCTGACTCTAGTTGTGTAACCTCCCATCCAAGTCAGGCAGTTGCTATACTTCAGCAACCTCCTTGTCACACACCTTATGGATGTTTTTTTTTTTTAAAAGATTTTATTTATTTGACAGAGACACAGCAAGAGAGGGAACACAAGCAGGGGGAATGGGAGAGGGAGAAGCAGGCTTCCCGCTGAGCAGGGAGCCCTATGCGGGGATCGTGACCTGAGCCGAAGGCAGACGCTCAATGACTGAGCCACCCAGGAGCCCCCCACCTTATGGATTTGAGCTGCAAAATTCAGATGCCACAGAGCTACCAATTGTAACAAAAAGTTGGCTACTAGAAATATGATTTAAGATAGCTTACCTGCTTATTTGACAGTTTTTGTAACCGACTCTCAGTTTTAGGACTCTTACACTCTTCTTTAACTAAAAACAAGAAAATAGGAATTTTGGTAAGTGAAAAATATTGCTACAAACCAGTTAAATTTACCAAATATTTGCCACAGCAAGGCACTGTGTTGCTGTTTTGAACATTCAAAGAATTCTAAGAAGACAAAGGCCCTCATTTTGAAAAACTTGTAGAGGAACAGGAGAAGAGATACTCACAGATAACAACAATAAGGGAAAAGGAAAGGTGACATGTAATTGAGTCTCCAAGTATGTAAGTCTGCAAAGGGCAGAGTAGGAGGCTAAGCATTCCAGGCAAAGGAAATAATAGGAGAAAAGAAATGGAAGCAAAAAACATGGAATGTATTTATGGAACTCTTAAATAGACTAGTTCCACTGGAGGTCAAGGAGTATAATGGAGCTAATGTGGTAGGCAAAGGGCAACCAATCACAGAAAGGTTTTGAGCAAGTAGTGATCTGATCAGAATTGTGTTTTAGGGAGATTAAAATATGGCAGTGGCTTATTGAACAGATAGGAGAGTAAGGGAAAAACTAGGAAGCTATTTTATTATTCCTGTTAAAGGGAAATTGGGAAAATGGTAGGAAAAATGAAAAGGATAAATTAGAAGAGGAAGGAAGAGGGGTGCCTGGGTGGCTCAGTTGGTTAAACATCCTGGGATCAAGCCCTGCATTGGGTTCCCTGCTCAGCGGGGAGCCTGCTTCTCCCTCTCCTGCTCCCCCTGCTTGTGCTCTCTCTTTCTGTCAAATAAATAAATAAAATCTAAAAAAAAAAAAAAGAAGAGGAAGGAAGAAAGGAAAAAAAGAAGAAAGGAGGGAGGAAGGAACAAAGGAGGAAAGAGAGGGTAAGAAAAGAAGCAGGGAGAGGGATGGGAAGGAGGGAAGGGATGGGATGAAGAGAGAAGGGAAGAAGTGAACAAAGATAGGAAGACAGGGAACAGAAGAGGGGAAATAAAAAGGGGAGGGGAGGAGAGGAAAGGGAGGTAAGGGAGGTAAGGAGGAAAAGGAAGGAAGTAATCTTGCAAAAAGGAGGATATGAAAAAGCAAGTTAACATGTATTGACATTAAGCCTTTGTTGAGACACACACACAATAAAACTAATTGGAATTCCAAATAATGTAGTTTACACACATTCATGTAAATAATAATTTGAAGAAAAATCACAACACATTTCAATTAAATATAAAATCCTTAAGCTATATTTATCAGATTTATAGGGACATTATAGTTAAAATGTAAAAGAAACAAAAATAACATATAGATACTCATGCAAATAATAGTTTAGCAGTTATCAAACTGAACCAAAGTTATAAAACCACAATTTTTTTTTGGAAAATAGCTTTTTAGAAAAATATTTAAAAAGACCATTCTTGGGGTGCCTGGGTGGCTCAGTTGGTTGAGCATCCAACTCTTGGTTTCGGCTTGGGTCATGATCTTGTGGTCATGGGATAGTGGGATCGAGTCCTGCGTCATCAGGTTCCACGCTCATGGGGAGTCTGCTTCTCTCCTTCTGCCCCTTCCCCCCATTCATGCTCTTTCTCTCTCTCAAATAAATAAATCTTAAAAAAAAGACCATTCTTATACTATATGTATGTAATTATACACACACACACATAAAATACATGCAGGTATAAAATATAATAATAGACTCAGGACTCTGCACGTGAGTATTTCCTCTGCTGGGAAACTCTTCAGCAAATGTTTTGCATACTTTATCCCATTCCACTCCCCTTTATTTGGGTCTCTGCTCAAATGTTATGTCCTCCGAGAGGCATTCCTTGACCATTCTATAAAACACCCCCCACCTATACTTTTAATCTGCTTTATTTTTCATCATAGCACTTATCATTACTACACATTATGGAATTTATTGGATAGGTTTTTTGGTTGTTTTTTTTTTGCCTCTTATCAGTCTCCACCTTAGAACGTAAAGTCCATTAGGCTGGAAAACTTATCTGTCTGGTTCAGTCATATATCCCTAGCACCTAAAACAGTACCTTGTATATACAGCTCAATAGATAGAAGCTGAATAAATAAATGAATAACAAATGAGTCATATTTTGAACACAAAGAGCAATCTGCAGCAATTTGGGATTATTCTGATCAAGAGAAAAACTAACTGCAAGATGAAGATTCTCATCTCTGTATCTGCATTCCCTATTGTGCCTAAAACATAGTAAACACTACTGAAGGACTGAAATAAGTAAAAATATATAAATTATGTAAGAGAATATTAACAACAAAATATGCATATTTTTAATAAAAAATTGTAATATAGGTTAGAGTAACTTAATAGGCAAGTGTTTACACACAAAAAAATAACTGGATTATGCTGAATAAAATTTATTTCAAAAAGTAGTGAGGGGACATCAGCAAAAATGTCAGAGTAAGGACCTTTAAAAATTCTGTCCTCTATAAAGGCCTAGTATCCAAAATCTATAAAGAACTTATCAAACTCAACAATCAAAGAACAAATAATCCAATCAAGAAATGGGCAGAAGACATGAACAGACATTTCTGCCAAGAAGACATCCAAATGGCCAACAGACACGTGAAAAAGTGCTCAACATCACTCGGCATCAGGGAAATACAAATCAAAACCTCAATGAGATACCACCTCACACCAGTCAGAATGGCTAAAATTAACAAGTCAGGAAATGACAGATGTTGGTGGGGATGTGGAGGAAGGGGAACCCTCCTACACTGTTGGTGGGAATGCAAGCTGGTGCAGCTACTCTGGAAAACAGTATGGAGGTTGTTCAAAAAATTGAAAATAGAGCTACTCTATGACCCAGCAATTGCACTACTGGGTATTTACCCCAAAGATGGGGTGATGCAGTGATCCGAAGGGGCATGTGCACCCCAATGGTTATAGCAGCAATATCCACAATAGCCAAACTATGGAAAGAGCACAGATGTCCATCAACAGATGAATGGATAAAGAAGATGTGGTGTATATATACGATGGAATGTTAGGCAGCCATCAAAAAAATGAAATCTTGCCATTTGCAATGACGTGGATGGAATGAGAGGGTATTATGCTACGTGAAATAAGTCAATCAGAGAAAGATAAGTATCATATGATCTCACTGATATGAGGAATTTGAGAAACAAGACAGAGGATCACAGGGGAAGGGAGGGGAAAATGAAACAAGATGAAACCGGAGCAGGAGACAAACCATAAGAGACTCTTAATCTCAGGAAATAAACTGAAGGTTGCTGGAGTGAAGGGGGGGGGAGGGATGGGGTGGCTGGGTGATGGACACTGGGGAGGGTATGTGCTATGGTGAG